GGTCAGCCAGGCATGTTGTGTGGATTAGTAGGTAATATTGGAGGATTATGAAGAAATGGTGATATTTTGAGCCCGACACCGCGACCCATTAGTCGTTTGATTTCATTCAATTTGGCCTCAAGAAAATGGGCTAAGTTCATTGCCTCACTCATGGAGGTTACCTGATTGGATAGAACCTCATTCTTTATTTCTGATCGGAGAGCTTAAACAAAGCATTGAGTTAAGAAAACCTCTGGAAGATTAGTCATATGCAAAACCAAATCCTCAAAACAGGTCTGATATTCCACCACTGTTGTCGTCTGAGTGAGTTTTGTGAGTTGACCTTCCGGTGACTGAATTTCTATCACAGTAAACCTTTTGTGAATCGCTTCAATCAGACGATCCCATCTTGTTAATTGTCATTGGCGTTGCATCCACCGGAACCACTTCTTGGCAACCCCATCCAAGCAAAATGACGCCATCATCACCGATGGTGATCTTCAGTACCGTATAAGTCAAAGAAATCTTGGGCTGATGCGATCCATTCTTCTGGTTCTTAGCCGGTGAAGAGAGGAAGTTTGACTGGAACTGGTTTTGGAGAAAAATGGAGCCCATCCTCAAGGTCATCCTTAAGTTTCCCTTTTCCCCGAAGTACTTTGGTTTCACTCGATCCTTCCTGAACCATTGTCGACTGAATCGATTGGCCCAGCTGCGCCGTGAGCGCGGATAACTGGCGCAAAACGTCTTGAAGAGTTTGATTGTTTTCTGCTACAGTGGTTTGAATCTCCACCAACTTATGTTCATGCCGAGAGGTATTATCCTGGAGGGTTTTGATTGTCTCTATGTTGTTTACCATAGCTCAGGCTATTAACGAAAGAACCAATTTGTTAAGAACAAATTGAGCATAGAAATAAGAATTTAGCAGCAAAGAAGAAGAAGAAGATAGATTTCAGGGGAAGGAAAAATATTCTCAAGATTTTCATTCACCATGCGCAAATGATGAAACAATTATTTATAGTCTATTGTCTATTTAGAATAAGACAAAATCAGTTAACGCTTTAGGTAGCCTTTCTTGAATTCCTCTGCGTCCAGTAGTTGGTGCGATGCTACTCACTGGTGGATCCTGGTTCTCCAGCTCATTGTTGTTGACGTAGATCTCTTCTTGCTCTTGCTCATTCATAACAAACTATTTTATGATCCCGGCTCACTACGATGTTATCCATTATTTTAATGAATCACATTTATCTATTTTAAAATAATTTTTGAATAATTGTTTATTTTTTATTTACACGTAGGAAAGAAATAAAGATTCAACCTAAAAAATAAGATTGAAAATTTTTATTAGTTGGACAACATAAAACATGATGAGTTGAATTCATATAATAATTTTTTCGAAAATTGGGTTAAAAGATATTAAAATTTTTGTACGAGATTACTTTTTTTGTTTAATTATTGTTGGCTTGTCTTCGTCGAATAATGCCATATCGCCGTCTAAAATTCGCTCATCATCTAATCGTTTAGGAGAATTGAAGATTTGAATTTTTAAAATATTATAATTTAAGATTTTTTTAGAAATTTAAAAAATTTATATTATTTTAGATAATATTAACAGTAAATTGATGTGATGTGTTAAATAATTATTGGTTAATTATTTTAACTGCCATTAAAGTACGTAAATAGTCTCACGATTATAGGATATTATTTAATTGAGTCATTTGACTATAAAAAGTTATAAAATGATCTTTTAACTATACAATATTATTTTTTTTAGTCACTCGACTATTAAAAGTTATAAAATAATCATTTGATTATTCATTATATTCCAAACTCGTTCTTTTTTATTAAAAAATTACGACAATTTGAGTGGGATGTTAATTTTATGTCTGATATACAATAATCGTTTGAGATTATAAGATCATATTTTATTTTATCTCAAACAACATATTAACATGTAGCTCAGACTGTCGTCAATTTTTAACGAAAAATGATGATTTTGGAATACAATGAATAGTCGAGTGACCATTTTATAACTTTTAATAGTCGAAAAACTTAACAAAGTAATATCCTATAATCATGGGATCATTTTGTAACTGTTTATAGTCAAATAACTCAACAAAACAATAATCTATAGTTGGAGATTATTTGTGTACTTTACCCTAAAATAATAAAAAGAAACAAATTCTAAGCACCTTAAATAATACCTGAATAAGTATTAAACACTTATTTTTGACAAGAAAAAATAACTTTAAACATCTACGACAAAAGAAATATATTATTTAATACTTACATTTTAATTAAGCCTCCAGAATATGATCCCTCTCCATTTGCAAAATGTTATTGGTTGATGTATGAAAATTTCCACATGGCTTGTCTAATCAGCGCTCAAACATGTTGGGGGAAAAGACAAGGGCCGCTGATTATTGGGTAATTAGCCCTGATTATTGGGTCATTATTCATTGGTAAACCTGCTCAGAATTCTTTTGGACTTGTTTCGCAGCTATTAGTGCATTTTAGGGGCGTAATCAGTAAACATAAAAAATGCATCGACAAATATATTTCATCAATTATAGAAAAAACAAGTCAATTTTAATTAACTGGCCGCCTTCACGAATATAACTTTCAAAATCAGAAGCAAAATAAATATAAAAAAGGACAAGGAACGAAAACGGTTGTGTCCAAAATTCAGTTCAATAATTCCCAATTATTTTTTCAGTTACAAAATCTCCTCTCTTTTGAGGCTTTCATTCACTCACTTGTCTCATTCACCTAACCGTCGAGTGTCCTTGACAAACCCATAATTTTGGATAAGATATGAAAAAAATAAGTGATCTAGATTTATTGTCACGTCTTTAGAACTTCGACGTCTCGGAGCGTGCGGCCTTAGTCGCCTTCTTAGTGATTGCGGCTAAGTAAGCCTGAAAATATCCCAAGCAAGGATGCTTAGAACCTCGACGGAAGCTAGACAAGAGAACTAGCACAAGAAGGAAGATAAGAAAGCTTTGAGAGAATAATGCTCTTATGATTTCTCAAAGTGAATGAGTGAGTACAAATGAGGAGAGGAGGCCTCTATTTATAGCTAAAGCTCCCCTCAATGAACGGCTAAGATCTAATTACATCGACGGTCGAGATTAATCTTTACCTACCAAAAACAAGTGGGCATTATCTATACAAATTTAAATGCCACCTAAATCTTTGTGGCTTCTAGAAGGTCCAAACCCCTATTTGGGCTACTTCTCATGGGCTAACCTCGGTGGTGGGCTTTGGTCCGTGACATTCTCCCCCACTGGTTCCGGTGACGCCCTCGTTGCTCGTTTGGCATGATATTGGTCTATTCTATTTTTGAATTGCCAAAGTCCCTCAGCATGTTCTCAACTCCCTTCGCACTCGGGTTGCCCCTTCCACAGGACAAAGTATTCATGCCTTGGGCGGTGTCCTAGCCATCGAATAACACTCTCCGCTTGTATGTCTTGGATCTCTTTGTCATATGAGACCGCTACTCCGACTGGCGCTCGGTGTAACTTGCCTCGATCTGGATCCTCGGTATCCTGATGGTACGGCTTGAGCAGGCTAACATGGATAACGGGATACGCTTGGATAGTTGGAGACAACTCCAATTTGTAGGCCATGGTGCCTACTCGCTTCACAATTCGGAACGGACCCTCGTATCTTCGCACAAGTCCCTTGTGCACATCCGCATGGCGCAAAACATTGGCCAACTTTACAAGGACAAGGTCGCCAACTTCAAAGTTCACGTCCCTTCGTTTTCGGTCTGCCCACTTCTTGGTCCGCTTTCCCGCCTTGTGTAATCAAGCTCGGGCTAAGTCGTGTTGCTCGTGCCACTCCTTGGCAACGTTGTGTGCTGATGGATTGGGCCCTTCATACTTGGTAACAACCGTGTTGGGTGTCAACGGTTGTTGCCCGGTCACGATCTCGAACGGGCTTTGGTTTGTCGCCTCGCTCCGTTGCAAGTTGTAGGAAAATTGGACCACATCCAACAGCTTTGGCCAGTCTCGTTGGTTGGTACTCACGTAGTGCCTCAGATAGATCTCTAACAGAGCATTCACTCGCTCAGTTTGCCCATCGGTTTTTGGATGAACTGCGGTGGAAAAGTTCAAGCTCGATCCCATCAGTTTAAACAACTCCGTCCAGAACCTCCCAGTGAACCGCGTGTCCCGGTCACTAATGATGGTTTTCGGCATTCCCCAGTACTTCACCACGTGCTTAAGGAAAAGTCGAGCGGCCTCTACAGCTGGACACACCTTAGACGCGGGTATGAATATCGCATATTTTGAAAACCTGTCAACCACAACCATGATACTTGAAAGTCCATCAGTTTTGGGCAAACCAATTATAAAATCCATGGAAATACTCTCCCATGGGCGCTCAGGAATGGGCAACGGTTGTAGCAGTCCCGTCGGCTTCTTCGCCTCGATTTTGTCTTGTTGGCATACAAGACAAGTCTTCACATAGGCCTGCACATCTTCAGCCATGTGCGGCCAATAGTATTGCTCCGAGAGTAATGCCAATGTTTGATCGACTCCCGGATGTCCCGCCCACTTGGAATCATGGCACTCCTTCATGAGCTCTTTGCGTAACTTCCCATACCGAGGCACAAAGAGTCGATGGCCTCGGTGGTAAAGCAAATCTCCTTCGAGCCAAAACTCTCGGGTTCGCCCCTCCTTGGCTCCCTCGATGATTCGTTCGGCCACAGGATCATGGGGTAATCCTTCTTTGATCCTCTCGAGGAGAGTACCTACCACAGTTTCGATGGCATACCTCCGGCTTAAGCCATCTGCAACACAGTTCACCTTCCCAGGCTTTTACTCCAAGGAAAAGTCAAACTCGGCAAGAAACTCTTGCCAACGAGCTTGCTTGGGAGAAAGCTTCTTCTGGGTGAGGAAATAACTGTTGGCAACATTGTCCGTGAACACCACGAACTTGGACCCAAGCAAGTAGTGTCGCCATATGCGCAAGCAGTGTACAACTGTTGTCATCTCTTTCTCATGAACCGAGTACCTCCTCTAGGTCTCGTTGAGCTTTCGGCTCTCGTATGCAACTGGATGTCCCTCTTGCATGAGGACTCCACTAATGGCAACATCGGATGCATCAGTGTAGACTACAAAAGGCTTGGTGTAGTCTGGCAACACCAACACGGGCTCACTCACCATGGCCTCCTTGAGCTTTTCAAAAGCGTTGTGGCATATCGTGCTCCATTCCCACACCTTGTCCTTTTTGAGTAGCTCGGTCAATGGTGTGGATATCTTTGAATAGCCCTTCACGAATCGTCAGTAATAGTTGGCTAATCCCAAGAATGCTCTCAGTTCGGTTACCTTGGTGGGTGGCTTCCACTCGTCAATTGCCCGAATCTTGTCCTTGTCCATCTGGAGCTTGCCTCCTCCAATAATATGGCCTAGGAACGGCACTTCCTTTTGCGCAAACGAGCATTTTTCCTCCTTGACATAAAGCTCGTTCTCTCGTAAGACTTGGAACACCCTCCTCAAGTGTTCAATGTGTTCTTCCAATGTCTTACTATACACAACGATGTCATCAAGGTAAACTACAACAAAACGATCAAGAAAGGGTTGTAGTACCTTGTTCATTAACGTGTAAAAGGTTGCAGGAGCATTGGTGAGACCGAAGGGTATCACAAGGAACTCATATGAACCGTAGCGTGTCACGCAAGCAGTCTTCGGTTCATCACCTTCCGCTATCCTGACTTGGTAATAGCCCGATCGTAAATCTAGTTTGGTGAACCACCTTGCACCACCAAGCTGATCGAACAAGTCCGCAATGAGGGGAATGGGATACTTGTTCTTTATTGTGAGCTTATTTAAAGCTCGGTAATCTATGCACATCCGTATAGAACCATCGTGCTTCTTTTGAAATAGCACCGGTGCACCATAGGGGGACTTTGATGGTCGAATGTATCCGGCATCGAGGAGATCCTTCAATTGTCTGCGCATCTCCTCTAATTCGGGTGGAGCTATTCGGTAAGGGGCCCGAGCGGGTGGCTTTGCATTCTCCACCAATTCAATCTTGTGATCCACCTCCCTCTTTGGAGGTAACTTCTTGGGTAACTCGGCAGGCATCACATCTTTAAATTCCGCCAATACTTGTCCCACTTCTCTTGGGACTTCCTCGGTCATTGTGGGTTCAGTTTCCACCAATGAAGCCACAAAGGTGGGTTCCTCCTTGCACACCCCCTTTGAGAATTGGATTGCGGACAACATCTTGGCCTCGATTCCAGGCCCTCGACTCACTGGAACAATGTATTGTTGCTTTGGATCCAGGATGCACAAGCAATCAGCAAAAGGCACTGGGAAAGCATTTATTCGGTCCAAAAAACTTAACCCAAGAAGAAAGTTGAAGTCATCGAGAGGAATTACCTTGATGGATTCCTTTCCGGACCAACCTCCGACGGTTAGCTCGATTCCCTTTGCGACCCCCGCAATTGAACTTCCTCGGCATTCACGGTTTTGATGGATCCCGTTGCCTTCTCCACATGAAGGCCAAGTCTCTTGGCAATTTGTTCGGACATGAACAATTCTAAGGCACCTGTGTCCACCAGTGCGCTCATCTTTTGGTATGCGACGGTGATGTCTACGTACATCGATCCCTTCTTCTTGCGGCCCTTCTTGACTTCTATGGTGCTAAGGATGGAGCCAAGTTTGAGAGTCCCACTCTTCACCCCATCATTCTCCTTGATGGCAGCAACTTTCACAAGTTGAGGACAATCTCGTTTCATATGATTTCCTCCACAAGAAAAGCATGATAATTCCCCCTTCTTCTCCCAAGGATTGAAGAGCTTTTTGGGTCGATCATTCGGCTTCCCATGATTTCCCGTTGGCTTGTGAAAGTTTCCTTTGGCCTTCTCTCCCCCACTATTACCTTTGGGTTTCAACCTGGATTGGAGAGAGTCGGTCCTTTTTACTTCAAATGGGGCAATAGCCTCGGCTGCATCTAATGCCTTGGAGAGTTCGGTCACTCCCCTCCTTTGGATCTCCATGTTGGCCCAACGTTGTAGTCCATCCATGAATGCAAAGTAACCTTCTGACTCGCCCAAGTCCGGGATTTGCATCTTGATCTCTGTGAAGTTTTTGACATACTCCAAGATGGATCGGTCATTCTTTAATTGCTTTAATTTTGATCGAGCCTCGAGCACAGCATTCTTCGGATAGAAATGCTCCTTGAATTCTCCCACGAACTCCTCCCACGTCCCGATTAGTTTTGTAATCTCGGAACACCTACGATGCCACCATAACATAGCAACATCGGTAAGATAATTGGAAGCAACATTTACCTTGGTGGTATCATCCCCGATACCCATGCCACAGAAGAATTGCTCCATGCCCCAGATGAAATTCTCCACATCTTGGGCAGTCCGACTCCCCTTGAACTCCTTCGGCTTAGGGAAGTTGATCCTGGGTCTTGGTGCTTGTGCCTCCCCAGTCACTCCATTTAACACGGCAGCCTTGTAGACGAGTAGCTCGCTCTTGTGCTCCTTTACCTCCCGTATTATTTCAGCCCTCATGGCCAAATACATGCTCTCGAGGCCTCGGGTACGCTCGTCTACGTTCTCCGTCAACTCGCTGATGAGTGCTTGAGTTTCTTCACGGAGTACATCCTCTACGGACTCCACCTTCTCCAAGAGAGATTCAACCGAGTCTTGAGTCTCTTGGACTTCATTATATCGGTCTTCCAACCTACCGACCCTTTGCTCGAACGAGGCCACCATGTCCTTCGAGTTTGCTCGCTTCTTCGGTACGACAACACGAGTCACTTCGCTTGCTGGGTTCTCATCTTGATTGTGTTGTACCATTTCTCGTAGAACTAGCTCTGATACCACTTGTCACGCCCTTAGAACTTCGACGTCTCGGAGCTTGCGGCCTTAGTCGCCTTCTTAGTGATTGCGGCTAAGTAAGCCTGAAAATATCCCAAGCAATGATGCTTAGAACCTCGACGGAAGCTAGACAAGAGAACTAGCACAAGAAGGAAGATAAAAAAGCTTTGAGAGAAGAATGCTCTTATGATTTCTCAAAGTGAAGGAGTGAGTACAAATGAAGAGGGGAGGCCTCTATTTATAGCTAAAGCTCCCCTCAATGAATGTCTAAGATCTAATTACATCGACAGTCGAGATTAATCTTTACCTACCAAAAACAAGTGGGCATTATCTATACAAATTTAAATGCCACCTAAGTCTTTGTGGCTTCTAGAAGGTCCAAACCCCTATTTGAGCTACTTCTCATGGGCTAACCTTGGTGGTGGGCTTTGGTCCGTGACATTTATCTATAAATTCAATTTACTCTAATATCTGTGTCTAAAAATTTTATACATTTAATATATATATATATATATATATTATATATTATTATTTTTTAGTTCTATTGGTCCTGCAGTTTATTTATTTATTTTTATGTTGTGACATCAATCTTAAAATAATTTAATTATTTTGTGTGGTTTAAGTTGAGATTTGAACCTAGACTCACCCCCAAAATCTGTCAATGGCATAATTGTTAATCTAATTGTTATCTTTATCATATAGTTCACACTATTTTTATTTAACTAAAACTGAAACATTGAATTAGAATTTTATAAATTTTAGATTAAGTTGAATTTAAAATTAATTATATTATATTGTTTTATTAAGTCATCTGACTATTAAAATCTGGCTATATGGAGTTGCTTTGTTAAGTCTCTTGACTATTAAAAGTTACAACTTACCCCACTATTCATTATGTTTCAAACTCGTCATTTTCCGTTAATCTGAGTTGTACGTTAACCTGTTGATTGAGATATGGTGAAATCTGATTTCATAATCTCAAACGACTATCATATCTCAGTTAGCATATTAATATCTAACTTAGACGACTGTTAATTTTTTTAACTGAACATGACGAGTTTGGAACATAATAAACAGTCAAGTGATAATTTTGTAACTTTTAATAGTCAAGGGACTCTAAAGCAGTTCCCTATAATTAGGGAATCATTTTGTAACTTTTAATAATCAAGAGACTCAATAAAATAGTACCCTATAATTAAGGACTATTTGTGTACTTATCATGGTTATCAAAACCAGACCCGACCGGTCGGTTCAACCGGTTGAACCGTGAACCGTTAGCCTATCCGGTCCGGTTACCTCACAAAACCGGTCTAACAATGAACCCCGGCTGAAAACTGGTAGAACCGGCTGAAAACCGGTAAAACCGGGGTGAACCGCCAGTTTACTTTTTTTCTTTTAAAAAAAATTAAACCAAACGACGTCGTTTGTTCAACGAGCCAAGTCAAATTCGAGTATTGCTGAGCTCGACTTGAACTATAAAACTTTAAAAGTAAGCTCAACTCGACTCAAAAACTCACGAGCTAAAAATTATCAAGTTCAACTCGAACTCGAAATATAATATTAAAATTTGAACTCGAAAAAGGCTCGAACTCAAAAAAAATTTAGAAGTTCGATTGAAGCCTAAAATTTGAGCTCAATTGAAGCGAAAGAATAGTTCACTATGTGCTCACTAAAATGCTCCATGATTTTGAATGTCAAATTACCTCTATTATTTATAGAAGTAAGTTGGGATGCTCTTCTATGTTTCTTAGTAATGTGAGATTGTTTTGTTCTCATATTTTTACTCTTTAAACTTTTGAGATGCTCTTCTATGTTTCTTAGCCATGTGGGATTGTTTTTTAAAAAAAAATTAAACCAAATAACATCATTCATTATGATTTTTTAAGCCCCAATTTTATTTTTTTGATTATAGTTATATAATTATATTTATTATTTAATATGTTTTACCTTAAATATTATGTTGTAGTTGATTTGAATAATTTTATTTCACTTGATTTTATGGTTTTTAATTTATATATGTTATGACTTGGGATATTTTTTATACCTTTTAATATTGTAAACTTAAAAAAGTGTTACATATATATTAATATTACTTTGAATATTATGTAAAATTAAAAAAAAAATTATTTTATATAAAATCCGGTTCAGTGAACCAATACTTTCACCGGTTCAATGTCCGGTCCGAATTTAAAAACATTGGTACTTACCCTTAATTAGATTATGATTAAATCATGACATGAAAAATAATTAAGTAAATATTCTATATATTTATGTTGTGACGTTAAAACTTTGTTTGGTCCATCTGTCGGCTGTAAATGATTTTTTGGCCTTTATTTATCTGAATTCAGGAGATGTGATCATGACCGGATTAAGCTCTATCATTTAATATTTGTTACATCTAATATTTCAAAAAAAAAAAATTGTTTATATAACTTAATTTAAATAATATATTATTAGTTAGTATTTAGATATCGAATTAAATCATGAATTTAAACATAAAGAAATAGAGTGGAACAGGACGTAGACCTGACCAATTCAAAGCGCTAACATTTAAAATAGGGATGGAGCCACTAAGTGGTATTCGAGTTCTAGACTTTTTCTTGGTATAATTATATTTTATTTTTTAAAATTTAAAAGTAATTAAACCAAATTTAATTTATCTTAACTTTAAATTTTACATAATTCATAATTTTTGTTTCTAATGTAAAATAATATGATTTCTTCTGATATTTAATTAGAATTTCGAGATATATTAAAAAACTATATTTTTTTGAACGTTTAAAAAAAACTATATTTAAATGTTGGAGATGTAGGAACTTATAAGGATAACCATGAGCAGAATTAAGAAAGAAACACAAAATAGGTAAAAATAACTTGGGAAATTATGTATTTAGTACCTAAACTATCATTTTTAATATGATTTAATACCTAAACTAACAATTTTTTAAAATTATACCCAACGTATAGTTTTTGTTTGATTGTAAATCTCTGTAAAAAATTTAAACGCATTGCGTTTTTCAAGAATAAATTCAATCATTCATTAATCAACTATCTTCTAACTTATATTTTGATACTAAAGTTTAAATTTTTTTAATTAAACTACTCAACTTTCAAACTGTTCTTATTTTAATCACTCTAATTTATTTTATTAATAGATTTTGTGACATGATATTTTTTTATTATTATTTTTGTAAATATATAATTGAAAATAAAAAAATTAAATTAGAAAGTTATAGTGATTAAATTAGGAGTAATTTGAAAGTTAAGTAATTAAGTTAAAAAATTAAAATTTTAGTGACCAAAAAGGAGTGAAAAGATAGTTGAATAATGAATGACGTAATTTATTCATAAAAAAGTGTCATCTACAAATTATTCGTTAATTTTTTAACGACAGATACTAAAATAAAACAAAAATTAAACGTTAGGTATAATTTTAAAAATTAAAAATTTAAATACTGAAACGGATAAAGTTATAGTTTAAATATTAAATATATAGTTTACCCACATAACTTTGTATAAAAATTAGACAAAGAAATCCATATAAATATACTGGGAATGAAAAAAAAAAGGGGGGGGGGGAGCTCTACTATTCACAAAATTGCAAACTACAGACGGAAAATGTAGTGAAAAATCAAAATCTGTGTTTTTTCCCCCACCAAATTTGTTTTCCTGTGAGAGTAAGCTAATCGTTGAACCACACGATCCCTGAGAATTCCATTCTACAGATCAAGTCTATTAGCAGGAATTCCTCTATCTTTACCTCCACCAAATTTCTTGACCTTTGGTGTTGAATTTAAAGCAGACGCCGCTGAACTGTTGATTCTAAACTCTGCACCATCACTCCTTGGATCCATCACATCCTCAGCAAAGTGCACTTTCTTCTTCTTCTTCTTCTTCTTCCCTTTTTAAAACAAACCCCAAAAAAAAGTAAATAAGTAATTATGTAAACACTATGTTCAAAACATACATATAATCGTTCTGTATAGATATGTACCGGAAGATATGCAGGAACGGGGGACTTGTTGAGAGGGCAGGGAGATTTGATCCAAAGATTTCTGAATACGAAAAGCAAGTAGAATTACTGTGCCAGAGTGCCATGGCTGTGGCTAACACCATTCCTTGAGAGCTCAACATCGAAGCCATATTTTCAACCAAAATCTCAAACCCCAATGGAAAAAAAAAGTCACTCTTGTTGGAAGTTAAAATGGGTGGAAAGAGATGATGGGCCAAACCCCGTGCTGCTGACATCATTTATATGGCCATCCAATATCTTTTTCCACCAAATTTGACAGCTCGTGATCCGGACGCTTCATTTTTAGGTTTTGTATTTTTTTAGTATATTACAAATTCGGGATTTGGAAATCCATGTCTATGATAGAGATTAAAGTCTGGATTATGAGGTGTTAATACCGAATTACATCCGTTTGTTTGTTTGTTAGGGCTGTTGGTAACAAATGTAACGTTTATTTATATGTAAAATCGGTCAAGGATAGCTGATGCATTATGCATACACGAAAGGTTGGGTGGTTGCATTTGCTTTCTTAAATTCTGTTTTATGTAAATAGAAGCTGAATTAGTTTGCTGTGAATAAGGCAAAAAATCGAACATTTTTCAACGGTGTCAGAATCTCACCGGAAATAAGGAGGCTAATCAAGGGAATAATCGAAACGGGAGGCAAAAAGAAGAAGATAAAAAGAAGTTTGTGAGGAACGGACAATGACAGACGAACCTATCACCTATGCTTCTGTCTGTACTAAAACTCTTACAAATTCCACACAAATTGTTTTCCTGATATGCTCGTGAATTTCACGCACTTAATGAAAATTAAGACAGTTTTATCTGGTGAAGAGTTATTGGTTAATTACCTTTGAAGATTCGTTTGCATTGTGTCATCCAACATGTGTAAGAGACTGCCATGCCAAAGTATTTGGCATTAGAGTTTGCTTACATCTCTCCGACATTCAAGATAGGAAAGCCAC